CTCGGATTCTTCAGCATCTGCAGTTCCTACTATCTCTGGTAATATCACTAGACTATTAGTCCAGAGACCGGGTAATGTTCTGTGGACTAGGGTTCGAATCCTGCCATGGCAGATGGTGGAACTTTAAATTTAATAACAATCTGGAATTAAGAATCTAAGGATGACCATGAAACCGCTGTTAATTGTCAGGAAAATAAAAACATCTAGGTCTCAAGTCGTTTTTAGGGAAGATATCTACCATCCTTATCTGGTCTGGCCTACATGTGATTCCAGACCTACAGCAATGTGGCTGACTTATCTGGCCTGGCCAGTTATGCTCACATCTGAGTGATTTTATTTTTTTCTGGAAAGTTAAACATATGAATAAACTCCATTGAGCTGAGAATCTCCAAATGTTTTTGGGTACCTGTAACACGCAGCTTTCTGGTCAAATAAATGAAAGCTTGTTTTTTTTTTAAAAAAAACAAACAGTTAGATATTTAATAACCTGAGTTTAGTACCATGAGAAGAATATGATTTTGTATTGATCTGTGCTGTTGTTTTTTCACCCCCCTCCCCACCTTTATGATTAGAGGAAGAAAAGTATGCATTTGTTAACTGGATAAACAAAGCCTTGGAGAGCGATCCTGATTGCAAGAGTGTGCTACCTATGGATCCCAATACAGATGCTTTGTTTAAAGCTGTTGATAATGGCATTGTACTGTGGTGAGTGCCATTGTTTCTACTTCTGGTGCAGTTAGTACCTTTTTTTAATGTATTGTAATTTTATTTATCAGTGAGTACCTTGATGCTCTTGACCGTTTTTCACAGAACCATACAATCCCTACAGCGTGGAAGCAGGCCATTCAGCCCACTGGGTCCACACTGACCCTCCAAACAGTAGTCCACCCAGGCCCACATCTATATACTATATTCTTCCTATAACCTACATTTCCCGTGGCTGATCCACCTAGCCCGTACATCCCTGGGCACTAGGGGCAATTTAGCATGGCCAATCCACCTAACCTGCACATCTTTGGACTCGGGGAGGAAACCCACGCAGACACTGGGAATGTACAAACTCCACACAGACAGTCGCCTGAGGGTAGAATTGAACTCCTCTGGTCTCTGGCACCGAGAGGCAGCAGTGCTAACCACTGAGCCACCATACTGCCTTTTGTTTTTTTGTTTTGCTTTGTAACAGTATAGAAAAGCTCAGGCTTCTAGCCCAATCTGCATTGTTCAATAATATTAGTTTATTTATTTTTGTCACTTTTTTCTTTTTATTGTTTGAACTCCGTTGTTCCCATTTTGAAAACTGGAGTACTCAGAATTGTAAAACACCTGTTTTTGCATCATAAAGTCAGCACTGGTATTTTTCTCCAACTACTTAATCTATACCATTCTCTTGATTTAGTTGCAAAAAGGTGTGTTCATAGTCAAGTATGTTTGTTTAAAGCAAAAACTACTTTTGCTTTACCGGGCTGCTTAAGATGTCCCGAATCCTTGATTTTAAAATTGAAATTCATTAATGAATTATGATGTGATCACAAAGATTTGGATAGTTGAATGAGAAGAACTTCTTGCATTGAATCTCCACTGCTATAATAATGCCAGAAAAATTGATCAGTGTAAATGTTCAATCTGTTGTTGGCATTTGGTTCCACAGGATGTGCTACAATGAACAAAACATGTGCAATAAATTCCCACGGGTAATGTCCCTGTAAAGAAAGTTTGTCACCTAGACTCTATTACAGGTCTTTCTCAACCATCGCTGGCAGAAATAAGGTTTTCAATTTCTGTTTAAAGCTATATGGCCCTGAAAAGGAACTTTACATTGCAGGTCAAGATTATTTTGTAGTTTCATGGGCCATTTAGTCTAACTGTGTTCAGACTCTGCTGCAGCTTGACTTTTTCTTTGTTACTAAAAAATAGCCATTAAACCTCAATTCCTTACCAACAAAAAAAAATCATTCCAACCTTGATGGCTGTACCAGCTCTTTGAACAAACTATCCGATGAGCTAGGGTGCTGGATTCATTCTCCATGGTTCCAAAAATTTTTTCACTCGTGTACCTAATACCGTTACAAAAATTGTAATGGTATCTGCTGTCATCAATTCGTCAGGAGTGTATTCAAGATTGTAAAACATGCTCAAGTTTTTTTAAAAAAAAAACTTTTTCCCATTGACTCTCTCTCTCTCTCTCTCTCTCTCTCTCTCTCTCTCTCTCTCTCTTTAAAAATTGCATTAGATTAATCAATTCATTGAATCATTAGAATCCCTACAATGAGGAAAGAGGCCACTCGGCCCATCGAGTCTGCACCAACTGTCTGAAGAGCATCCCAGCCCCTGCCCACCCCCGTACCTACCCAGCACTTACTATCATTGGACTGTGGGAGGAAACTGGAGCACGTGGAGGAAACCCACACAGACATTGGGAGAATGTGCAAACTCCACACAGACAGTCGCCCAAGGGTAACATCGGACCTGGGCCCCTGCCACTGTGAGGCAGCAGTGCTAACCACTGTACCATAGGGCCACCCTTAATTACTTGAACATGTTGACTTTTTTATTGTCATAGTTCTCTTTTTAAGTTGTTATGACTCAGCTCCTCCACTTTGACAGTTTTAAAAGATAATGGCTGATGTGCACCACTGCTTCAATTGCTCGCCTTTGCTCCATATCCTTAGTACCCTCGGGGATTAAAAAGTCCCCTTGTCTCACTCGGAAACTTCAGTTGACCTATTACGTCCACAATCTTTTCTGTTTTTTTTTGGGCTGGTCATAGTGGGGTGCACATGTTGGTAGATCCAGATTTCTACAGCATTCTTTATTCCTTTGTGTGGGGGGTGCGGGGAGGGAAATGTCTCCTGATTTCACTGCAAATGATGTCTGGTTCTGATTTCGAAGATTGTTTCCCCATGTTCTGAAATCCCACATCAGAGAACATAGTGTAGAGTCAGAATCTCTCCAGTTCCTTTTCTTAGTTAACACCCTCAACTGGATAGCCCTGAACTATCTGAACCCAAGGGAATGTGAGCTTCATTTTAAGCAACTGGTCCTGGAAATTTAACCCTTCAAGCCCTGGTGTCGTTCTGTGGCTTGACTCCTCCACACATGAGGAAAATGGTTTGAGTTTCACAAATCAATGCTAAACTGTTCAGCTCACTTCTATTTGAGAAGTTTTCTGTGTAAGTTGGATAATGCTTCAGAGCCTAATGAGTATGACTGAGGCATGTCCCAGTGACTGAAAAAATTAAGCCCATGCCACAATTTCTGTAACCAACAGGCTAAAATGTGCAGGCATTAAGCATTACTTCCTAAGCTATTAGGAGATAGCAAGAAGTGCAGATGCTGGAGTCTGAGTCAATACATTGTGGAGGTGGAGATACACTGGTCAGGTGGCATAATTAAAGGTGTAAACCCAAAATATTGACTTCCTTGTTCCTCTGCTGCCTGACCTGCTGTGTTCCTCCGGCTCCACTGTATTGATTGCTAAGCAATTAATGTGCTAAACTCCAGGAAATGTACTTGCCCCACTAACTAATGAACAGAACTGAAAATGCCAAGGCATATTTTTCCAATATGCCACACACTTGGTGATGTGCAATCTTATAGGTAGGATTCTGCTAGAAAGTTTGGACCTTCTTTCTCCCTGCCACATCATGGCAGGTTGTCATGTACCTTTTTTGGAAAGTCCCTTTACTCCTTTTTGTAGTCTGTTTTCTCCTAAACCATCACACTCACTTATGGCCAGGCATCCTCTGTTGAGTCCTTGAGTCTACAGGTTCCACTTGTTCAAACAGGGAATCTGTTCTTTCCATTGTTGTGCCTGGTGATTTAACACAAAACTGTCTTGGCCACTGCTTTGCACTAGGTAAAAGCCCGTATCTCTTTATTTTTCTGTATTTTTCATTGTAGACTGAAATGGGGAAAAGAACTGGATTGCTGCACTCTAAAAGCAAGTTACCCAACTCATTGTGAGTGGTATTTGCACAGCTGATTTTTGCAAGCAGTAGAAGGTCTAGTTACAGATAAGCTGGATTTGAAGCATCATAAACACCGTAGCTAATTTATCTCCCTTCATCAGTTACTGTAGGCAGTGACTTTAAATGAATAGGTCTGAGACCTTTTATAAGTGGGAACCAGTACTTCTGTGCCTCCTGTGAACAGGTGAAAGCACCTGGAAGTAGTAAGATCAAGAAACAACATTCTGGTAAACCATCACAGCAAACACTGTGAACAGGGACCACTGAACTGCCTTCCGAGCCTTTCCCTCCACCCATAACACCTGTCTGTGTGTCAAGCAGGGTTGAAAAACCAGGTACATTGGGGAATTGGCTGTGAGAGTTTCCAATCGGCTAACCTAGTGAGCGTAACAGCAGGAGCTGATCTTGCTCTTCTGAACCAGCGTTCTTTGGCTAAGGATGTCGTCTGTATCTTCTGTGTTCTTTGCGTGGGATTTGATCATCCATGTCAAGCCCAACATTTGCTCATCCCTAATTACCCTAGAAACTGACTGACTGACTTGCTTGATGATTTCAGAGGGCACCTGAGAGTCAACTACATGCCCAGTCAGACGAGCTGAGTGTCATCTTCTATTGTGTCCAGGTGTGAAAAGTGACGCTTGACTTTTTGCAAATTCTCAGCGGAACTGCTATCCCTCTGCTAACCTAATCACGTTGTCTGCCTCCAGAAATAGGGTTAGCTCTCGCTTGAAGGAATACAGAGACTCAGTCTGCACTACACCATCTGTCAGCTGTACCTGAGTCTGCTATTCTCTATACAAAGATTCACCTTCTGATGTTTAAACTAGATCAAACATTTACACTTATTGAACTTCTGACACTGATCCTCACGAACATACTTAGCTATCTAGTTGATCCCGTTTTGAGGTTGACCTGAGCTATGGATCAGAGTCAATTTAGAATGCTATTTGAGAATTAAGTGTTTATTATCCCAAGTGAAACCTAAATTTTGGCAAAATGATGGTGCAAAAATCTACCATATCATTTTGACATTTGGAGTAATTTGCTGAATTTTTGGGGAAAGTAAAACCTTCTGTGCTGTATCATCTTATTTGTGGTCACTGCCAAGATAGGGACAAACACTCCATTCCAGTTCAAACAAATGCAGGATCCGACCCCAGTGGTTATCAATTAAGTATTGCAACAGTCTGATCAATGGAACTAGCTTATTGACAAACTTGCAAAATAAAATGAACTTTTGTAGTCCAGTGAAATGGTTGATACAGGTATAGAGCATCTCCGATTTGTTCAAATATTGCAATCGGTGTTGATAATTGCTACTGACCACAAACCTTGTATTAAGAATGCTGCAGGGTATAATCCTAGTTCTCAAAGATTCACTCTCCTTGCCTTTTGTACCTATTTAAATTTGAAAAACAGCTTTTCAATCTGATCCAAAATAAGTTTCTTTCATTAAAGAAAAAAATTCCTTGTCTTTGGGACACGTACGTTGCTCTGTCTTGCCCTGCGGAGGTGTTGGTGGCTCTCTTCAGTTGCTGGCCACTTCAGAGAGCATTAAGAGTCTGCAGTATGGTATGGGATCGGATACGTAGGCTAGAATGGAAAGGGATGGCAGGATCCCTTCCTTGGAGGATTTGATTAAACCAGAGACAAAGGAAGCTTTTGTGGTCATTTTATTACAATGTTAACCTGCAAGTAATGCAATTTAGTGACTTCAGCAACACAACACCTCCGCCAGTGATAGAGGTTAAAATGCAAATGAATACTTCAGATGAGTTGATGAAGCTGACTGATGGAACTGAAATGATGTGAGCCTAGCTATGTGGGGTGGTTTAAAAAGTTTGAATTTGTTGACACAAACACACTGTGAATTAAACTATGCATGCTTGCCTGTCAGCTACGCTCAGTATTGTTTAGAGATCAGATGATGGGAAGTTTTTTGTCTACCATTAATAACGTTCTTCTATTTCACTTCCAGCAAAATGATTAACCTCTCTGTGCCAGATACAATTGATGAAAGAACAATCAACAAGAAAAAGCTCACAGCATTTACTATTCAGGTAACTGATAAATTATTTCCCATGGTAATCATTATGGGGACAATGGAATTCTGTGTTTGTAACAGTGGTTGGAAATGCATTACTTTTTTGATAGAAAAGTTGATTCTTCCTACTTTGTTCAGTTTCCATTTACAGATCGAAATTTGTTTCCTCATTTTTTGAGATGCAGGTAGAGAATAGAATGAGGGAATGACTTGAGACTTGATCAAGTCAAGGAATACTCCATCTGATCAGTCAGCTCTTTCTTTTGTACTTTTTTTCTACTTTACTTTAAAGAGTTGGGCTGAGTAGCCTCTTATGAGTAAAATTCTATGATTAATCTTGCCATTCCCAATAAAGTTCAAATCAACTGATTTTGTAAATTTTTGCAGTTTAATTTAAAAATACTTGTGATCAATTGCCACTTTTTCAACTGCAACATGCTGTTACCATGCACAAGTACAGACAGCCAAAATATTCATAAAGATCTGTAGCCACATGTTCAGCTTTGCTGGGCCATATCTCTTCCTATGTTCTTCTTACCTGCTGTACCTCATAGCCTGGTGTTGTGATATGCTGCATTGATTGAGGATGATCATTTAAGGAATCTTTCCTCACATTGTACACATGAGATATGATAAGATGGTACACTGCCCATATTGTGTAACTGGGGAGGAGCAAGTTTTTTTGGTTTGTGAATCCTTCCGTTGTACTCTTTCCCCTGTTCCTCTCTCGCCTTGAAGGAAAATGAAAAAAACCCTTATTTTCAAAAGACATTTCCCTCAGGTTGCAGGAACCCATGGCTTCTTTCTTGTGGACAGCGCAGGGTCAGCTGTTGCCTATGTAGTATGTAGGTTCTGACAGACCATCTACATGGGAATCATGGCTGTCCTTAAAATGGTTGTGCCGTATGTCAATGCTTTTGGTCAAGAAGGGAACTGCCAGTCCTACTTTCCATTCTAAGCTTTGCCTGTCTGTGCATTCCTCATTTCCTTTTGCCTTTATTATTGGTGCCTTCAATTGCCTATACTTTGGAATTCCTTCTTGAGAACTTTTGATTTTCCTCTTTGAACCTATCTCTTAGAATCTTTGCAGCAGAGGATGTTGCAGAATAGAAGCAGGTTGCTCAATCCAAAGTGCCTGTTCCCACTTTGGTAGAGCAATCCAGTTAATCCCAACCTCCTGTTCTTAATCCATGGTCCTCCATATTGTTTTTCCTTCAAATATTTGTACAATTCTATTTTAAATGAAGATGCATCTGTCACCCTTTCAGACGATGCATGTTTGGATCACAGTGACATGCTGTGTAACAAGAAACATGGCTTCCTCCTGTTGCCTCTGGTTATTTTGGCGATTGCCTTAAATCCATGCCTTTGCCACTGGAAACAGTTTCTCTTTTTTATTCTATAAAACAATTTATTGACTGAACACCTTGTTTTGAAAACAGAATCTCCACTTAGCTTCTTCCTAAAGCAGAAAAGGCTCAGCTATTCAATGGATATATGGTGGTGTGTTAGTAATGTCACTAGATTATTAACCCAGTTGCCCAGTTTAATGCTTTGGTGACATGGGTTCAAATCCCACGAAGGAAGAGATTTGGAATTTAAATTTCATTAATAAACCCAGAATATAACCAGATTACGTGTTTTAACATGGTTCACTAATGATGCTGAGGAGAGACCTGATAGAAGTATATAAAATTATGACAGACACGAATAGGGTGGATGGTCAAAATCTTTTTCCCCAAGGTGGAAATATTAAATACTAAGGATCATAGGTTTAAAGTGAGAGGGAGATATGTTTAAAGGAGATGTGTGAGGCAAGAGTTTGCTTTTTTGGGCACAAAAGCCTGGAATGTGCTGCCAGGGAAGATTGATGTGGAGAATTCAGTGTTGGACTGGGGTAGACAGTCAAAAGGCAAACGACACCAGGTTATAGTCCAACAAGGTCATTTTGAAATCACAAGCTTTCGGAGCGCTGCTGCTTCGTCAGGTGAAGCGAAGGGAAGCACACAGGCACAGAATTTATAGGCAGATAGTGGCAAGATAATTCCAGGTAATTAAGAATGTCAAAAGATAAGGACAAATAGTCTGAGTGGAGTGAATCACGAGTGTTTGCAGGTGAGGGAAACTGAGCACGCAATCCCTTTTCACTCATGTCATTGTTGTAAGTCTGATCTGCATCTTTGCCACTATCATGATCTGCTCTAACATCTGGTACTCAAAATGGATCTCTCAGTGGGACTTAACCAGTGTTCCATAAAGGGTAAAGTTAAATTGCTTGCCTCTGTATTCCATTTCTCTCTTCATAAAGGAAAAGATTCCTAATGCTTTTAGCTGTTCTTGCTAATATTGCCTACTTTGGCTCAGTGGGTTTTCTCTGGTATATTTCTGTGAAGAATTTTCTCATCTTTAAAGATGTTACATTAGTCCAATTTAACATCGCTGAGTGAGATTTACATGAAACCTTACTATAATCCTGCATCATCAGGAACGTACTGATTTCAAAAATACTGTGTAAGAAACGTTCCTTCACTGTCTAATCATTTTGGCTGGGTTTTAATCTTGTAAGAAATGTGTAGGGCGAGACCTGGCTAAAAACAAGGTCTTGGAATAGTTTAAGGCTCGGTGTGAGCCTATTTATGTGAATATCAACAAATTTCTTCAGACTGTGTCAACTAAATACTGAAGTGAGCCTTTTGAAATCTGGAAGTAATGGGAGAATATGGCTGCTCCTGGATTTTGTCCATGGTGTATTCTCAAGCTAATTAATTTTGGAACAAAGACATGATGGAAAGTTGACTCAACCACCATTTCAGCTTGGTGGCCTCAGTGAGCTGAGAGGTGGTCAGCGTTTTGGATTCTACGTTCCCTATGTACAGACTGGACAAGCGTCTGGAAGACTGGTGGTGTTCTTGGAATTGTCTGCATGATCAACCTCTGCATGAATTGAACTTTGGATAACAAGTTGGAAGAACGTACTCTTATGCTATATGTTCACATTTTTTTGGAATCATTGTTTGCACGCAGTCACAAGTGGATGAATTATTGTCAACAAAAGGTATTGATCTGAAGATTTAAGTGCAGTCCACCCACCATTTCAGGTCACTCATCAACTATGACATGGAGGATAGTTTTGACCTTTTATCCCAGCACAGTGACTCTGACTCTGTTCAGGCGGTGTCCTCCAATTGAGTCCTATCCTTAACAATGAAAAGAAAGTATGGTCTTGGAGATAATGAACATCAATTTGTTTCCCACCTTCATGCTGTACCCCATCTCTGTGCCATGTCTAACCTCAGAACAGTTGAGCACTAAACTGTGTTCTGAACTTAATGTACACCTTGACAAGATATATCTGAACATTTTTTTTTTTCTTCACGTAGGAAAACCTGAATCTTGCTCTGAACTCTGCTTCTGCCATTGGTTGTCATGTTGTCAATATTGGCGCACAAGACTTGAGAGAAGGAAAGCCCCATTTAGTCTTGGGACTTCTGTGGCAGATCATCAAGATTGGGCTGTTTGCTGACATCGAACTCAGTAAAAATGAAGGTAAGATCCTATTAATAAATGCAAGGGGTAGTTGGTTTCAGTCCACATCCCCAACAATGGACATCAAATTAAACTTCAGCATGACTTGACAATGCATTTTATTTTCCACACGGCTAAACCCCAACAAGAAGTTGAGATATTTTAATTGAGCAGTTTTTTTTTTTTTTAAAAAGAATCATTGCCCATTTTTCCTCAAGGCTGTTACTTCCTACCTGGTCCTGGGGCATGCAAAATGAAAAGCTGCCCCTCTCCTTTTAATAGTGTTTAAATCATTATCTCCATTGCCACCAGCTCTGGGGAGTTTAGAAGCAAAGGACAGCTGTTAGTAGCAATACACAACGTAAAGTGATTATTTCGAGACTGGGAAATGAAAAGCAGCCTAATAGAATGAGCAACAATATTCTATTAAACCATTTCGCATCTTATTCCAGCACAGTAGGACTCATTTGGAATTGTACATGACTTTTGAGCTGTTGATAGCAAGGATTGAATATGTTCAGGGGTCAACGTAGAAAACCCAATGCAGTTATCACTTGGTTTTAGAGGTCCTCAACATGCATTGGAAATGAGGGAATATGTAGCATTAACAGAGCAAAGTAATGGCACCATTTGCTTCTACTTTTATTGCTGAAAATGGCCGAATTTGAACAGTTTTAACATTGTTGCAGTCTCCAAACAGGCACTTGAACGTGATCTGATCTGATCTGGTGCTTCTCATATTACATTAGGGTCAATTTAAGTGTCAGTGTGAGGCAAATATAGAAGCTACTGATTGCTCTTCCATCAGTGATTGCTATCAGTGGCATTAATTGTTTTCAATAGACATCAACTGAATCTATACCAGAGCATTGAACATAAGGTTTTTTTTGTAACAATGGATGCAATGTCAAATGATCATTTTCCTTGCGGTGTGAGATTCTTGGTTTTAATTTAAAGCATTAGTTTATCCATTAAAGGCAAATAACAATTGGCATTCGGCCAGTTAAGAAGAATTAGAACAAGTGACATAAAGTTCAGTGAAGGCAGGTTTTAAGGAGTAGCCTAAAGGAGGAGAGAAAGGTAGATAGGGTGTTCCAGGAGCCTATGCAACTGAAAGCTTGGTCACTGGTGAAGCAGTTAAAATCAGATACGTCAAGTCAGAAGTTGAGGAATCCGTTTAACTAAGTCGTAATAGGGCTGGAGGAGATTAGGGATAGAAACAAAAAATGTTCCGAAGGAAGGTCACTGGACCCAAAATGTTAACTCTGCTTCCTCTGTCAGACCTGCTGAGTTTTCCAGCAATGTCTGTTTTTGTTTCTGATTTCCAGCATCTGCAGTTCTTCAGTTTTTTTTTTTGTGAGATTAGGGATAGGACTGAATAGCTATTGTATGATTGCTCAGTTTTTTGAAGAAATGAGTCTCCCTGTGTATCTGAAGTTATGGTCAAATCTGGTTTGTGGAACTCATTAATTTCAGTAACAACTGCAGTACTGTTGAACATATTTGATGCTGTATTTTGTCATAACCAGCATATCATTTTGATATATGGAGCTTGGACAAGGTGCTAGGTTTTGATTTCAAAATTGAAACTTCAAATGTCAAAAGAAACTGGCAACAAGTGTGTTGTTCATTTGAAAGTGATAATTTCCAGACTGGTTAATATTTGCTTCATATGGACATGTTTCGGGGGTACCTCTGCCCTAACTTGTCAAGTCCGTACCTGGATCCTACAAATAAACAATGGTGCCATCACAGACAGCGTTTCTAAATGGTGTTTGGCAAGAGAAGTAACCTATTACTAAATCTCCTCTGGGCTTCTCCAAATTCAGCTCCATTTTAAAACCTTTCAGCTGGAAGAGGAGCTGTCATACAGGATCTACTGCTCACAAGAAATGAGTCATCTGTACTGAGGACAGTTAAAGTCGAAGAGCAGTAGTGTAAGATGTGGAAAGATAAGGTACGAGTGTCCCATTGAGGACTGTTTTCAACATGGTCATTTGGGAGTTGACACAGGGGACTATACACTGAACCCAGTCAAATGTACAATATTGAATTTGGCAAGCTCCCTAACAGGACACATCATCCAGTCTGCGTGGGTCTCCACAATCATTCTACTATTTGAAATTTCATTGCCTTGTGCCTGGGTGTGTTGTGGCCTATCTAATGGAGAGAGGTTGCTGTGTTCAGGTAACCGCTTGTTGTCATGTGACTGGTGATCAGGTAAGTTGCGAAGGAAGGAGATGGACCTTGGGGTGTTTTTTTAATATCTAGCAATCAGTTTCCTGGGATACAACTGTGCAACGATTCCAACATGTCTCAGTCACTGAACAGGTTATGCACAATCACTGTTGTGATTTGAAATGTGAACACGACGCTACAGAGCAATCTCGTGTCCCGTTCGCTGCAGAGCGTGCTGTCAACAATTTGGAGGGGAATGTAGAATATTACCTCCATTCTGATTATTGAGTTTTTATGTGCCAATATTTGGCATTCACTTGAAACCAAAAGAATGATGCTCGTTAGAGAACAAGTTTCTTGATTTTAATTGGAATTTGCTTGTTTCAGCCCTGGTTGCTTTGCTTCGTGATGGAGAGAGCCTGGAGGATCTGATGAAGTTATCTCCAGAGGAGCTGCTGTTACGGTGGGCGAATTACCATTTGGAGAATGCGGGCTGCCAGAAAATCAGCAATTTCCACTCTGATATTAAGGTATATGCAGTTGCAGAATGAAGAAGTGGAAAATAATCCTTTTCTGGGTTAATTGTGTGCAGGTTGGGATCAACAGCAATTGCAATTATTAATTTTTTCTTTTTGGTGCAAGTGCTAATCTGCTGATTATTACTCTAAATTTAATTGAAGTGATTATTTGGGGTGTAGATTTTACAGTAAAGTTGCTTATGTTTCATTATTGAGTGAGTTATTAATTATAATATCTGAATTCTCTAATCATAGTGCATGTATCTTTGATTAAATATTGAAGCTTTTGAAATTGCCTTGCTTGCAGGGTTCTTTTGATTAATTAGTGTTGGTTATGATTTAGTGAAATTTGGGAGGTGACCAAAGTCTTTTTATCATAACTATTTTTTGGTTGGCATACCATAGAGAGAACAGTTTGAGAACTGAAGGTGTAATGTGCTGTGGGAGGTACAATTTTATAATAAATTTTGTTCTTTGTAAGCAAGTTTTTTGATTTTGTTTCACACAGGAACTGAATTGAATTAGCTTCATTGTCTTGAATGAGTGCAGCAAAAAGTTTGTAGTATCGCCACTTATGGCGCCATCTCAGGTACAAGATACCTAGGTACAGATACACAAGTATTTGTACACAATTGAAAGAATAATGAATAAAGGTCCAGCATAAGAATGAAAAGCTTTTTTAAAAAAAAAAAACTCTAACTATAGTCCCTTTCACCCAAGTCCGTGCCAGTGCCTAGCCTCCAGACCACACCCGGGCTTCAAAACTCGAGGGTTCACCTCCAGCCCGCAGTAGCCCCGGGTGCAGCACTCATCGCCTCCATTCCCCACCATTCTCCATTAAGAAGTTAATTTTTTTTTTTTGTTTTGGGGGGTGGGGTGAGCTCCGGAAAAGAATGGGAGGAACAGAGGAGCTCCGGCTGGAGCATCCTACTCTGCCGCCATCTAGCTAGAAATCCTCCTGCATTTAGTGCTCAGACACCTGGATAAAACGTACAGACGTTTTGCAGACTGGGTACTAGTCTTTAATGTATGTTATGACAACAGCACTGTGTCCCAGTGTTTAGGGTTAATACTTTCCTAGCTATATTTCTTAACATCTGTGATACTGTATCCACATAATCTGATCCATTTCTCCAAGGCCACAGATGATCAACTGTGCATGTTTTTGTTAGAGTAGATGATGGGAGGGCCAGTAACCAGAAGATGTCGCTTTGAAGGAACTGATAAATTACACATTGTTTGTTTTTGAAAAAAAACTCTTCTCTTGTTTCCCTCTGGCTCTTTAGCCAATTATGTCATCCTCTGATTAGTAAAGCATTAAGCTTTCAACTGCCTTATTGTAACCGTCTATAATTTCTCCACTTCCAGCCTGTGTCCCATCACGGTCTGCAATCTATACCTTGAAATGATTTGAGTTTTTGATTCCACTATCCGACTCTATGTATCGCTGTTGAATATTTTTCTTGCTGATGGACGAGCAAATTAATAGCCATTATACCACATCCTATGGCTTGGATCTCCCAATAGGAAGATGGTCATTACAGCAGTGTAGACTGGAGTTGTGTGTCAGGGCCATGTGGCAGCCTTGATGTAGCCGACTCCCTGGGAATTGCCCAGGAAGCTGAAGCTTCCAATGGACTGTTTCCCAACCCATTGAACCCTCTGGGAGAAAGTTCCCAATCCTGATTTTAGAGTTGGAGATTTCAGAGCGTTCTGACCAACTTGCCTGAATAGTTAACCAGGGAAGTTAGAGGAATTGAGCATCTGGCTAGCTATCAAAAAAAAAAACTACCCTGTACCTAGTGTCTCTAACCGTGATTGCTGTCAGAGGATTGAGGCTAATCATTATTATATAAATATCTTTAATTAAACACTGATTCTTTTTTTCAGTTGTTTTATTTTGTTTGCAAACTTTTTTGGATTAAGAAGACAGCACTGCAACCTTGCGGTTGGTAAATGTCATTCTGGTTGCACCTGTTCAGATGTTTTCTTGGAATTGGTCATTTACTTCCCATGATGATTTTGGACCACTATAACTCCTATTCAATGATACTTTGGCCTAGGTTTTACCAGCAATGTCCTCCTTGCTCCAAAAAAAATAAATTTTGAATACTTTCAGCTTGACCTGATAAAAGAGATGTCAGCTCTGGCTTGATGTTTGTGGGTTCAAGTCCCTCACCGTAATCTGTCATCCGTTTTGTATACGGTATTGTGAGTATGAGACATTTAAACAAGATCAAAGATGGCCTTCTCTGGTGGGCTGTAAAGATCTGATAACATCACTGTAAGGTGTAAGGAAATCCTCTCTGGTATCCTAGTCAAATGAACACACATCTCCACTTCGGGGGAAAAAAATCCTGGAACCATTACTTAATGGCATACTTTATGGTCATTAATACACATTGCTATTTGTGCAGGCTTGCTGTGTGAGAGTTTCTGCTGTGTTTCTTGAATTAGGTGCTTTAATAATTGTGAAGCACTTTGGGACAACCTGATCCTGAATACGTGCAAATTCATTTGTGGCATATTTCATAACGTAATAAGTGGCATCACTTTTTAAGTCATCTTGTCACTACTTCGGTGTATCCACTTTCATTGTGAATTATCTTTCAGTGACCTACTTTATTTGTTTGCAGGATTCAAGGGCTTACTTCCACCTTTTGAATCAGATTTCACCAAAAGGCAATAAAGAAGGTGAACCACGTATTGACATCAACATGTGGGGCTTGAATGTAAGTACCAGTGAAAACTTAGTGTAATGCTCTAAACAGAAACTCCTTTCCAAAGATCTGATGACAATTTTGTAATGTAAATTATTATAGTCCTTACATTATGCAAGTACGTGTCTTAATGAGTGCTTTGTTGATTTGGACTTGAAATAAGGGTCCTAGGAAAGGTACTCGAATAAAATTTAAGGCATTCTAGCATCTTGGAAGGTTTGCTTATCTGGTCAGACAGTTAACACCTCTAGAATTCTCATTCTAACATCTGAAAATGCATGTTTTCGGTTCAAGGACAAATAGGTAAAGTCTTTGCTGTTGAAATCAACCTTATTTATGCAATGAAAACGCAGAAGGAAATATTTCATCAGTTTTAATTTGTTTTTGTCAGCTTAGAATACTTGTGTAAGGATGTTTTGGTTTTCATTGTATACCGTGAAGTGTGAGATTCTCTTCTTGGCAAAGAGTAGCTGTACTGAGGAGGAGTGAGGGATTCCTACGCTGATGTTTAAGTGCACGACAGAGGGAGCATTTTGGACTGACGTCCTGATTGCCTTCTCGGGTGGACTCTCAAGATCTCTTGGCCTTACCTTTTATCCTGGGTCAAACAAATACCCAACGAATGAACAAACAAAATCTTTGAAGCATGACAAATCCAGATTTTTCTAGTCATTAAAACACATTGCTGTGTATTTGATCACAGTCGTGATGGGCGTCATCTTGAAATGGGATGCCACTTCCTTGTAGAGTTGAATCGAAGCTAGAAAAGGTCAGAAATCAGCTGCATTGTCACTGGTATCCAGAAGTTGGCCTACTGTTGATGGGATTTTCTACAGATGTACTTGAGACTGATGATGGAACAGTTCCTTGTAGAGCAAACTTTTCTGAAATAGGTTTCCTTAGTGAAATAACTATTAAAAACAGTGAACCATACGCTCAAGTATTTTAATGTTACATGCGTCAGTGATTGATTTGTCCCATTCGTGTTCCCACAGTCCCTGGAAAAAGAGTATTTATTCACCTTTCACATTTGTTACATGCTTTGTTGGGTCACCTCAACAAAGACAGTAAGAAAGTTTTTAAAACTCATTTCCATTCGGCTGTTTAAGATTGAAAAACGAATTTGGAAGGTGTCTGATGACTGAGTTACATTAACGATGATTGAGAAGGTATAATTTGGGGCAGGATAGGCAGTGAATGAAATTGAATGATTGATTTGTGCATTGCCATTTTCCTTTTTGCAGCAACAGCATCCAGGTCTTCAACCATTTTAAACCCCTCTGCCTGGCTATCTCTCTCACATCCTCCAAGACAACCTCTTTAATCAAGATTTTGGTACCTGTTCAAATTTTAGACGATCATCTGATTATCACAAAAACACACCGTTCCTGAACTTGCAGTTTGTCAGCTACAACCTCTTCCCCCATCACAGTAAAATGGTTGGTAACTTGGGCAGAAAGATTGCAGGTGGAGTTTAATCTGGAAAAAAAATGAGGTAATGCATTTCAGAAGGTCTAATCCAGATGGAAAATATACAGTAAGTGGCAGAACCCTTAAGAGTACTGATAGGCAGATAGATCTGGGTGTAACAACCACATAGGTCAGTGACAGTGGCAACTCAAGTGGAGAAGGTCATCATCAACAAGGCATATGGCATGCTTGCCTTCGTTGGCTGGGGCATTGAGTTTAAAAATTGGCAGGTAATGTTGCAGCTTTACAGAACCTTAGTTAGGCCGCGTTTGGAATATTGTGTTCAATTCTGGTCGCCACACTACCAGAAGGAAATGGTGGCTTTGGAGAAGGCACAGAAAAGATTTACCAGGATGTTGCCTGATATGGAGACATTTAGTTATGAGGAGAGGTTGGAGAAACTTGGGTCGTTCTCTCTGGAACGACAGAGATTGATGGTTGACCTGACAGAGGCCTACAAGATTATAAAGGGCATGGATAGAGTGGACAGTGAGAAGCTTTTTCCCCGGGTCGAAGAGTCAGTTACTAGGGGACATAGGTTTAAAGTGCAAGGGGCAAGGTTTAAAGGTGATGTATGAGGCAAGTTTTTTTTTTACGTGGAGGCTGGTGGGTGCCTGGAACTTGCTGCCAGGGGAGGTAGTGGAACCAGGTACGATAGTGACTGTTAAAGGGCGTCTTGACAAATACTTGAATAGGATGGGAATAGAGGGATACAGTCCCCAGAAGGGTAGGGGTTTTAGTTGTAATGGGCAGCATGTTGGTGTAGGCTTGGAGGGCCGAAGGGCCTGTTCCTGGACTGTAATTTTCTTTGTTCTTCTTTGTTCTATGACCAAGATGGTCACTTGGAAACGATTTTTATATGTAGTGTAAGTCACCCAGATGTGTATTTACGTTTTGATTTCAGAACAAGCTCTTCTCATAGTTAGTTCTGCCAGCAGAAACTATATGTACAAACTGATCTCCCTCGTAAGGAGATAGTAAGAGATAGTAAGAACAGGTGTTGTCTCATCTGTTTTCCATACAAACTGAAGCAAGACATCTTTGCACTGCACTCAACTTTTATTTTGAAAGGATTTATTTGCCTTCCAAATTGCTTGCTGCACTTTCATGACTTATAAACATGGATACCTAGGGCCCTTTGTAATCAATTCTTTCCAATCTCTCAGCATTTAAAGAAATATTCTGCACCACTGTTCTCTCTACCAGAGTAGATAACTCTCACTTATCCACATAATATTCCATCTGCCTTGCTTTCTCACCAACTCACTCACTGTCTAAATCTCCTCAAAGCCTCTCTGTATACTCTTCAAATCTCATTCCCACCAAGTTGTGTGACTGGCAGACTTGGAAATATTATCTTAAAATCCAAATCGTTGATATAGATTGGGAACAGCCAGTGTCAAGCATTGATTGTTACAGTATCACAGCTTGCTAACCCAAAAAGACCCATTTATTCCTATTGTCTGCTTTCTGATCGTTAAATCATATCCCCAATCCATGTCAACATTAGCCCCAAACCCACACTTGTTAGTTTTGTTAACTATTCTCATGTACGTGACTTTATCAAAAACCTTCTGAAGATCCAAAGACACCGCACTCGCCTGGATCCCCCTCTATTGACTCTGCTATTAATGTCCTCATTAAAAAAAAAAAAATCAGATTTGAATAATGTGATTTCCCTTTCATAAATTCATGTTGATTCCCAAACAGGAAATTTTTGTTTTAAAATATTCAAGAGTCACATAATGTGTACAGATTGCAACATTTTTACTACAGCCAATGCCAGACTGAACAATGTGCAGCGATAACAGTGTGGAGCTGGAGGAACACAGCAGGCCAGGTAGCATCAGAGGAGCAGGAAAGCTGATGTTTCGGTTCGGGACACTTCTTCAGAAGAAACGTCAGCTTTCCTGTTCCTCGAACGCTGCTTGGCCTGCTGTGTTCCTCCAGCTCCACACTGTTATCTCTGATCAGTGTGCAACTCCTGGTTTTCTCTCTCCTGTTTTCTTAAACAGTAGGGTTAGGATTAACATGCCCTACATTACCACAACTGTTTGGCCTGTAAGCCACTTCTGCCAATGATTCCTGCCCATACTGTTTCTTAGCACCACCCAAACAGATTCACTGACTATCTCCCATCTGAAGAACAGGATATAGAGTCTGTCAGTAACACAGCGATCATGCCCCTGATTGTAAAGTTTGGACAAGGGGAGTAGAACTGCACACCATGAACAGTAGGTCAGTGATGTTATGATACCTCTGGAGCAAGTGGGACTTGGATCCAAGCCTCCTGGCTCAGAGGTAGGGATGCTACCACCATGCCACAAGAGCCTTCCCAAGGAAGAGTATACTTGCAATAGAGGAAGTACATGAAAGATTCACCAGACTGATTCCTGGGATGGTGGGACGTCTGATTTGGAGTTACAAGCCCAGTCTCATTCTGAGTTTGGAGAAATGAGATCTCTTAGTCCTAAAAATTGTTAAAGGAATAGACCAGTAGATGTTTCCCCAGGCTGTGGAGCCTAGACATGGAGACGCAATCTCAGAATAAAAGAGAAACCATTTAGGATTGAGATGAGGTGGGACCTCTTCACTCAGGGTGGCACGCCTTTGAAACTCTGTATGCTGGAGGGCTGTGGAATCTGTCATTGTGCAACTTCAAAATGGAGATTGATAGATTCTAATTAGTAATAACATCAAGGCATATGGGGATAGTACAGGAATATGGTGTTGAGGTAGATGATCAGCCAATGGTGAAAAAGGCTCGAGGCTGAATGGCCTGCGCCTCCTATGTTCCTATAATAGTGTGTTGTATCTTTTGTGATCCGTGAACCATGTCACCCAGATCCCTCCATCCTTGAGTTCTGAAACCTCTTTCTACTTGAACAAAATACTGCTTTTCTATTCTTCCTCCCAAAGCACATTTCTGTTTGCCCACAGTGCATGCTCTTTACCAAAAGCTCACTGAGTTAGCCATTATATTCCATTGTAGTTTCCTAATGACCACTTTACTGCTGAATTTCCTACCTATCTTTGTGTTGTCAGCAGATTTAGATGTCGTACGTTTGGTCCCTTCATTCAACTCGTTGAAATAAATTGTAAAGAGTTGAAACTCATTGATTCCTGTGGCACACCATTTGTCACATGTTGCGAATCTAAAAATGACCCATATGTGCCTGCACACTCTCAATTCATTGTACCTAACTAATATGCTATCCTTTCGGTATGTTATACCCTACACCATGACCTGTGATTTTGCATAAAAGCCTTTTGTGGTATTGAGTTCTGAAATGCCTCTTAATGCCTTCTGAAATCTAAGTACATGTCTCCAGGTTTGTGTCATGGTCTTGGATCAGACCATGAATGTCACACCTGAAGGGAAATTCAAACAAAAACCCTTTTTAGAAGGGAAGAGATGAGTCAAAACAGAATGGACTGTGACCTCTTTTGACTACAAAAATAACGAGGGACTGATGACACGCTGCTCCACAGAAAGCAACTCCTCTGCGGATTATACCTCAAACAGCAGAAATATTGTATATGATTTCCCTTTAAAGAATATACAAGGTCAGAGGTTATGAAGCAGGTTTCAACTGTAGTGTGCTGATGGGACTGACATTGTGGTATGAGCCAATGGATTATGGTAGCCATGTGTTCTCAACCTGCATCATGTGTTAGTGTGCTGTGACGGTCTGCTATTCCCTGGTAACCCTTCTCACTCTTGGTGCCAGAAGCCAACAAGTGACCAAACCAGATAAAAGGAAATAAGATGACAAAGGACTCTATCTTACCCTGAATACTGGAATTTCATCACGGTCAAAAGGAATCAACCACAGAATCTCAGCCAACCTGCAAAACCAAGAATTATTAAAATCAAATGTTTAACAACAAAATTTAATGCTACTGACAATCTCCATTGCAATGGCTGCCACATTCAACCGCCCACTTTTTGAGAACACCTCCAGGACCAATTGCAAATTTTTGTTTTTTTTTTCTTTAAAACTCTTAATCTTTTTGGACTCCCCTCTCATTCTAATCTCTGAATACTTGATCTTGTATCTCATTACCATTGATATTAAGTAGAGATTTGAGTTGAGGTTTGGAGGAAAGAAATTGAATGGGGACTGACCCAGGATTGCGTGTCTGGATCAAGAATGAGGTAATGCGGAGAGAACGGCAGGGTGAGTATTAACTGGAGGTTGGAGAGAATCTTGGGTTTATTACGGTGAAGGTATGGATTAAGTCGGGGAGCTGCATTATTAGGTGAGTGAAACATGCAGTTAAAAGATGGGAGGCTGGTGACTGGAGAAGGGGCCAGAGAATAGGATAGTAAAAAGCCTTGGTGAAGTCACTTGTATGTAGTGTTGCTTTCCTCACCTACAGAAAGACATGATTGTCTTCGAGATATAAAGCAGCCGGTCAGAAAGCTGATGGGTGGGGATAGCATAGCAATAAATCGCTGGCCTGAAATGTTAAATTGTTTTCTCTCCCCACTGATGCTGCCTGGCCTGTTGAATAATTTGAGTATTTGTTGTTGTAACACACTGGTGGAAGAAGAATGTAATATTGCTATAACAGAGGTGTAGAGCTGGATGAACACAGCAGGCCAAGCAGCATCAGAGGACCAGGAAGGCTGATGTTTTGGGCCTAGACCCTTCTTCAGAAATGAAGACTATCAATGTAATACTGCTATTTAAATGGAAGGGTTTGGCTGGCAGAGTGATCCCAAGGAGCCAAACTCCTGGTACCTGTGTTATTGGGAGCATTGCAGCCTGCATTTTGGTTACTGAGATGAGGATAATGCACCTTAACCTCCATTGAGCCAGATTTTGTTGGAGTCGGGGTACTTCTTGACCTGCTCCCTTCATATGAACTTTTTATTTGTAAAATGTGCTACAACTTGATAGAGGTGAGAGATGGTGACCATGGTACCCCAGTATCTGGGACCTTGGTGAAATATACAGGGATTATCTTTAACCAGTGAGATTGAAGGATCAGGAAAGAAACAAAGCAACAAGAAGGCAGATTACTACCGGAATGGCTGTAAATTGGGAGAGGGGAGTGTCCAGTGGGACTTGGGTGTCCTTGTGCACTGATCGCTGAAGGTAAGCATGCAGGTGGTAAAGAAGGCAAATGGTATGTTTACCTTCATTGCGAGAGCTTTTAGGTGCTGGAGCAGGGATGTGTTGCTGCAGTTGTCCACGGCCTTGCTGAGACCACATCTGGAATATTGTGTGCAATTTCGGTATCACTTTGAGGAAGGATGCTCTTGCTCTCGAAGTGCAGCGAAGGTGGATGGCAGGTCTGACATATGAGGAGCGAATGACTAGGTTAGGATGTTTTCGCTGGAGTTCAGATGAATGAGGGTCGATTTCGTAGAGACTTTATAAAATTCTAACAGGACTGGACAGGGTAGATGCAGGGAGGATGTTCCCGATGGTGGGTGTGTCCAGAACCAGGGATCACAGTATGAGGATTCGGGTAGACCATTTAGGATGGGGATGAGGAGACATTTCTTCACCCAAAGAGTGGTGAGCCTGTGGAATTCATTACCACAGGAAGTAGTTGATGCCAAAACATTGAATGTATTCAAAAGGCGACTAGATATAGCACTTGGGCAAATGGGATCAAAAGTTATGGGGAGAAAGCAGGATTAGACTATTGAGTTGGATGATCAGCCATAATTGTGAAGAATGGCAGGGCAGGCTCAAAGGGCCGAATGGCCGCCTCCTGCCCCTATCCTCCCTTTCTATGGAAAGGAACGGCTGTGATGCAGTTAAATTGGGTGCAGAAAGAGAAATAGAGGGCATGAAAGGTTAAATTAAGGAAGTGAGAGAGAAGAAAGACCGACAAAAGGGAAAGGAAAAGAATACTAAGAGGCTGAAAATTCTACAGCTCAGCTCCTGACTACCCAAAGCCTGCCCACCAAGTACAAGGTGCGAGTCAGGAGTGTGTTAGAATACTCCTGACTTGTCTGGATGAGTGCAGCTCCAGTAATACTCAAGAAGCTCAACACCATTCAGGACAAAGCCATCCTTGTGATTGGCACCACATCAACAATCTTAAACACTGGCTCCATTCAACTCCAGCTCCATGGCAGCCGAGTACATGATGCACAGCAGAACTCGGCAAACTTGCTTCAACAGCACCTTCTGAACCTGTGACCCCTAACAGAGAAAGGACTGCAGATGCATGGGAACACCACCTCCTGCAAGTACCTTTCCAAGCCCCACATCATTGTGATGTGGAACGAGAGTGTTGTGCCCTCACTACTGTTGGATCTAAATCCTGGAAGTCCTTCCAAACAACACCAAGGTGTATGCCAAAGGAACTGCAGCAGTTCATGAAAGTGACTCTCCACCACAACCACTTCCAGTTCAATTTGGAATGGGCAAGAAAAGTCCTAGTTTTGCCATCGATGCTCATGTGCTAAAGATGAGAGGTTATTATTTTTCTAGTAAGGCATACGTACTGTTAAATTCACCCTCAAAATAAAGTCTGGTAATTAACGGGCAGTTAGTTTGCCAGTCCAGCAGGTTCTTGAAAATAATAGGTAGGAGGAGATTCTATTTGGAATGCGGCCACTGATCCCAACAAGCAAATATCAGTCCCAGCCCAGATAAATGGGAAAGGCCATTAACAGGAAGGGCACCTGTCTGTAAAAGGATCTGCTGAATCCAAACGTAGTGATCCATGTGAAGGGTAATAAGCCAGCATTGTGGCAACTGCATGTAATGTTGGAAAAGCTGAAAGAGAATTTTTTTTTAAAAAAAGCTAATGTCCCATTTGGACAAAGCAACTGGTGAATTGATATGAATCGAGCAGCAGTTTTGTGAGATTGGACACTGTCTTAATGCCTTGAACTTCCTGCAACTTCTTTTTTTTTTAAGAATATGTCTGCAGTTCTCCTGGAAATTACCACAGTGCCGTTGTGTGGCGAATACTTTTAAGAATTTGAGTTCAGTCGATTTTTACAGTCACATAACATTTGGCAGCAGAATGTTGTGTTCTTGGCACCACCTACAGGCAAAAGTCACTTGAATATTGTGATCACTTAACTTTTTTCTAATGTATAACTGATTATATTTGCATCTCCGAAACGAGCATTTTTAATGTAAGCAGTGGCCAGTTTGGGACTGAGCTTTTTTTTTTTTTTTTAGAATTATCCAACATTTTTATTCGGGTTTGTGCAGAAGTCCTGATTACAAATTTCCAACAGTGAACATTTATTTGTATGGAGTCATTGTTAAAGAATGTAAAGTAACTGAATCATTTAATTTTTTCCAATGTGTATTGACCTTCAGTATTTTAAAATCACTATTTAAAAATCACTAATTAAAGCAATAGATAATAAAATCCAGTTGACCCATATTTAATCAGCAGTGTCTTTCTTTCTTTGGGTAAAGAGAACAAACGGATGTATCTGAACATTTTGGTAAATAACAGAAATGCTGCTTGCTTATTTTCCAGGATCATTCAACATTCCCTTTATTCTGTGTCTGGGGCAATATCCTAATGTATGTCTCTCTGTCTTTATAACAGCAATTACCCTTTCAACTGCTTAAATCCTTAAATAATCAGCAATGCCAGAAGAGAGAGAACTTGAGAAAAAAAAATCAATGTCCTTGTGCTACTTCTAAAATTGCTATCTGTAAATGATGACAAATACCAATAAGTAATAGACTCACTCTCTCTAGTAACACTTCTGCTCTTTCAATTCTCTTAGGAGAAGGATGACCTGAAACGAGCTGAGTACATGTTGCAGGAGGCAGACAAACTGGGCTGCAGACAGTTTGTCACCCCAGGAGATGTTGTCCAAGGAAACCCTAAACTGAACTTGGCTTTTGTTGCCAACCTGTTCAATAAATATCCAGCCCTTCAGAAGCCTGAAAATCAAGACATTGATTGGAGTCTACTGGAAGGTAAAAATCACAAAAACGAATCTCATGTCTTGAAAATGACTGACTGCATACCAGATCTTGACATCCATCTTACCTCTTAATCTTTACCGCCTTTTTAAAATAAGAAAATGTTTGTTGGAATTTTGATTATTCCACAGGCTAATTTAAGAATGTTAAGTCACAACTTAAGTTAACTTATTACCCCAGCACCTCAAAAATGGGGCTATTAAGAGTGTAGGGGATAATTTGAATATAACCAGCCAGTGGGAAATGGATGTCTTTGGATAGGTCACTCATTTCACATTGAGGTCAGTATTCAGTAAAGTCAGGCAGGTACAGAATGAGCCAGTTCCAAGCCATTTGGTTTGCCATCAGGTAGCTTAGCTTAACTTAACTTTTTATTCTTCTGGATTCACACCAGAAGGTCTAAAGCAAGTTTCCAGTCTTGTGCTTTATTGTTGGCAGATCCCAGGGGTGGTAATAGCTGCTTCTATAAAGGGAGCAACAATAGGTTGGTCACAATCAGATATATCTATAAGCCGAAACATTGAGCCTATATCCTAAAGTGGAAAGCCAGAGATAGAAATGAAATTAACTGGCCTTGACGTGAAAGCAGCATTCAACTGTACACAGCCTCACTTGTATTAGACCTATTTTACATTGAATAGGGTCAGTCTCCAATGGCTAGGGCTACACTTAAAACAAAGGAACGGGGCCATAAGTTCACAATTCAACAATATTAGCATTAACTAGTGTTAGTGAAAAAATATACCGGTGATGTTCAATGCATAAAACTTGCGCAACAACATTTTGGCTTGCTTTGAGAAATGGCAAGTGACATATGTGCTATGCAAGTTCTAAGCATTGACCATCCCAGCAGTATTTTTTTTAAAACCCGACAATGTCACCAGTGACCTTCACTGTCTGTGCTACTGCTGAGGCATCTTCGAGTTGAACTTTGACGACGTGTCTTACTTCACATCAACACTGATTATTTTATCACAAATGACTGGAAGGTTGTCCACCTTCATAGAACCGCTAAGTTTACTGAACTTTACTCACGCAACAATGTTATGGGTAAGTCATCATCTTTGTATCACATGCACTTGTACACAGTTGCTATTTCATTGTTGTCAGCTTGAAATTCTTGAATAATGTAACTTAGTTGATTTGTAAGAGGGCAAACTCCACAATGTTTCAATCAAAAGCTCCCTATTCCTTTGCCCCACCACAGGTACTTGGTAAAAAACAAAATGCAGTCATCTTGATATTGCCAACATTCTGGGAACAAAAATAACATCTTATCAGATTGGAGAGCTGTAAAATATGAATATGTATGGAGAATCAGGAAGATGTTTGGTGGGGAATGCTGAATTTTCTTCAAAAGAAAATGATTAATTTTGCTCAGATTAAAAATGCTGCATCTTTTTACATTTAGGTGAAACTCGTGAAGAAAGAACCTTCCGCAACTGGATGAATTCACAAGGTGTAAATCCAGCAGTTAACCATCTTTACAGGTAAGAAGGAATATTTTCGTCTAAATATTGTTTAAGAACCATATGAATCATTGCTTTAGTTTTATGGAGGATTAAACTAGAAATCACATTAGTATTAGGATGACTAGGGCCAATTTTAATTTTTTTTTGGACAGGAGGCAGGTCGCACTGAAATTGGAGCGATGAATATACATGTTTCACACAGGGGCCTTTTTTTAGGCTGAGGCAAAGGGTCACTAGAATTGAGTTGCAGTCTTATGTTTTTATGTGACTGTGACATACCCAGGGCCCAGATTCATCTATTGAGATGCACGTAGACAAAACAAGTGCCGCATGTGCTTTGCTCATTTGCACTGGCTTGACAGCAGTTCTTAAAGGCACTGTGGGGGCTGTTCAGAAAGCAGTCCATGAAGTAACCAAGTGCTGGATCCAGAAAACAATTCTTTCTTGCTGCTGACTAGTCATGAGTCCTCTCCTCCCATCTTGCAGTGATTTGATTAGAGTCTAATTACTTTTGGACCAAGCTGCAGTCAATTAGAGTAATCTTGTGCATTAGGGGGTAAGTTCCTCTATGAATCAACAGATGCTCATCTATTGCTGATGCCAAGAAGTGTCACATTTTCACAACCCTTTGAATCTGTCTCTTTTTTAAAAAAAAATATTCCTGCTAACACAGTGATCATCACAGTGAAACATCAACATTAATTCACTTCAACACTTTTTTTTTTTTTCTTTCTGACACATTTCCAAAAACTGGGAAACAGATTTGGAAAGCTATTACAATGTTGCCTAAGGTTTGGTACAGTGGCCTGCTGAACAAAACTCCATCCCATTAATAGACCCAGTTATGATGACCAACTTTGTATTGATGCAAAGCTGCAATTGTTGTCTAACGTTAATGTAATTAAGCTGCTTAGTCCTTCTGAATAGGTCGCACAATGAAATATGATATTCAGGCCTTGGGTCTCCTGAAAAAAGTGTGGCTCAGAAATCGAATCTGCTAATATGAATAATGCGACTTCAATGATGATCACATGTAGCTGCAGCATTATGCTGGCCATAATCTGACTGCAACTGTTACAAACTAGCCTCTACAAAATTTCCCAGCAGATCACCTTAGATCTTTTCCTTAAGTTTCATTTCTTAGCTTTATAATGTACACAGTGTCATGTGTCTTATTGTGCTTTTTAATATAGCTAAGTGAAGCTGGATTCATGCATATTTGCCATGTTCTTGTTTGGCCACTGGCCCGAAGAGAGAGAGTTCCTATCCACGGGCTTTGTGGTATGGTCAACTGTTTCAAACCAATGCTTGTGTAAAGGAGATAACAAGGTGTGGAGCTGGATGAACACAGCAGGCCAAGCCACATCAGAGGAGCAGGAAAGCTGACGTTTTGGGCCTCGACCCTTCTTCAGAAATGGGGGAGGGGAAGGGGGTTCTGAAATAAAT